CAAAAAAAAAAAAAAAAAAAAGACAACCAACACATTTATTTTCTTAAAAAGTGACCAAAGAAGACGACGTTAGGAACTAGATAGTGATAGTTACATCAGACGTAGTGCGATTAGTGCGCACATTTCCGAAATTCAAAACTAAGCAGCAAAAATAGTTAGTGAGATTTGTGAAACTGACGTTTGGCTTTCAAGATATCATCAATGTTTAGTTTGGAATTGCTGCTTCCAATCACGAGAATTGCTTTCAAATGCTCACCAGTCAATATCGTTCGATGTGTTGGCATCACATACTTGAAATGTTTGCTCACAGACATAAGTTGTTCCAGTCACCGAAAACATATCAGATCAGCGGCAAATTTATTCCGTTTCGGAAACTCAACATCAGGTAAGCAGCGGTAAAATTCAACAAGTTTTCCATCTCTGTTCCTCTCTTTCAACAAGTCGTTTGCTTGCAAATCATTGAGCTCCAACTGTAGTTCAACTGGCACATCATCAAGGTTACAATCAAACGGATTCTGAAACAGAAGAAGGTCACTTTCAATTATGTCAAAATCTGAAAATCTCTACAGATGGAGCTACCACAAACCGAGGAAGGACTTGAGATGGTGCGACATAAGCATACATTGCAATAATAATAAAATAAACAAGAAAATCTAGATAAAGTAATTAAAAAATTGAAAATATGGTAAATTTAAAGCGCATAGCAGCTGTGTGAAGATCTCATAGTATTCTAAAGATAATATATTGATTTAAATTGTATCAGTGTTCCATAAGTATTATCAAGCTAATTCAATACCATCCGCGGGCCTGATGAATTGACATCGTGGGCTGTATCCGAGCCGCAGTTTGACCCCTGTTAAACATGATTGAAAAAACTTCTGGACCAAAATATTTGTTCAATAGAATAGACAATGGTGATGTCACTAGGGTTGGTGTCACCCAGTGTGGTCACACACACACCCCAGCAGACCTTCCCAGGGACCTCATTCAAGGCAAGTTTCTCTGGTGGCACCCTGCTATGGTAGCAACCTGTTCTGGTGGCACCCTTGTCCTTCAGCACCTTGTTTTGGTGGCACTCTGCATACCATTCGTTAGATTTTCTGGAGCAAAAGCTGTTACTTTACGACTCGTGTCAAAAATTCTTGCTACGTCACTGATCTTATTTTTAAATAAACGCACCAGATGCTCGTTTGGTTTTAATGGAATTCTTTTCTGGTGGCACCCTACTCTTGTATTTAACTACAATCTTTGAGGAAACCTACTTGAGAGAGTTCTGTTTACTTGCATATCTCCTTTGGTGTGCGTCACTTAGTGACGTTGCTGTACGTGGTAACTGCGGTAATGCAGGTATGCATGGTTGCAATAATACCATTTCGCAGATTGATTGAAATTATTGACTATTAGCCAACATATTTTGTTTGTGCTTTGTATTACAGGTATACTGGGCCGTGCCAGGTTGGGGGGTACCCATCCGGGGCACCATCTTCAGAGGGCACCAACATAATTTATACTAACTTTAGGCCCCGAGCTCAGACTTTGTTTGCAGGTATATCGATTGTTATAATGTTCCAATATAAATTGTAAAAAGAGTCTAGCAGACTTCTGTGCAGCAAATGAGCTCGTTATTGGGGCAGCGAATTCCAGCTTAAGCATATCCACAAGGTAACTTAGGTGTCTCCTGACAGCAAAACACAAAACAAAATAATCATGTATATATTAGCCAAAAATTTAGAAGTTTCTACAAGATGTACGGGCAAAAAGAGGAGTCGATGTCGCATCTGATCATCATCTTGTTTGGGCAACTGGGAAGAGCTAGCTGCTAAACGAATAAACTTCAACATAGTAATTCTGGCAAACGAGCAGAAATGAGGTGAATTCAGTGCAACCTTGAGATATAAGTTCCAGGCACTGCAAGACCAAACAGAAGATAACCAGGTAGAACATACATGGCAAAATATAAAGATGTCTGTCACATCCACTTGCAACAAGGTTTTAGGACCAGTGAAGCAAAAACACAAAGACTGGCTCTCACTAAAAACACTGAACAAAATAAATGAGTGGAAAGAAATGAAGAGTGAAGGTGACAGCAGGCGCACCAGGGCGGAGAAAATGAAAGAGCAATATAAAGAAGAAAATCTAAGGGTAAAAAACAGCATTAAAAAAGATAAAAGTGCTTACATAGATGGTCTAGCATCAACAGCAGAAGCAGCCAGAAAGGGAAACAAGAAAGAGCCCTATGACTTAACAAGAAAGCTGTCAAGAAGATACAAAAGGCCAGAGAGACTGGATAAAGATAATGAAGGTAGATCAATAACGGAAAGAGGAAAAAAAAAGATGGGTGGAATACTTTAAGAGGAATTTCTAAACAGACCTCCACCCATAGACACACCAGACATACAACCAGCAAATGAAGACTTACAAATAGAAGAAATTTCCCCAAATAAGGAAAAATAGCTCTGGCTATCATTCAAGCAGCTCAAAATAGGGAAAGTAACATGCAGGATAACATCACAACAGAGATGATGAGAGCAGATATAGATACAATTGTCAACATGCTGCACCCTCTTTTTTGAAAAGATATGGTAAGAACAGAGAGTTCCAAAAGATTGGAAAGAAGGATACCTCATCAAGCTACCAAAGAAAGGGGATCTCAGCAACTGTGCAAACCTTTCTGTACCAGGAAAGGTCTGTTACAGAATTATCAGAAAGAGAGGAAGGTCTAAGAATACATGGAGATGCGAGCTAGAGGCAGACACACAAAATATGGGATACACCTGGATTCAACTGGAAAGGAAAGCACAGGACTGAGATGAATGGAAAATTCTTGTGGACGGCCTAAGTAAATAAATTTTAAATTGAATCCCAATATTAGTAAGCAAAAGATTTTAAAAAATACATACTTTTTTAAAAACAAGCTTTTATTAAAATACACTATTAAGTACATACTATTTTGAGATACACCAGGATCTTCTACAATCAATCTGAAATCACAATCTGAAATCATGTCTACAAAAATAAAAGCATAGGCGATAAATAATTATTAAAATATGGAAGGAAATGCCCAGCATTAAATTTAAAGAGAAACCAACGCTGTTCTCCTTTCAAATTTCATGCAGGACAGCGTTCAAAAAATGATCAGCATGCTTTAGAAGTTAAAATTTAGAATCTCTATGTTCTCAGAAGTTACACTCAACAACATTTATAGATAAACACAAAATGGAGGGAAAACAGTCTCAGTTTTTGTTATACCCGGTACTACCCTTGTGTTGTATGTATCTGAAGTTTTATTTCGTGAAGCATTTCCTTCCATGTTTGATGCTCATGCTTTTATTTTTGTATACATTACATGATTAATGGTAAGCAAATCCAGGTCTGTCTCAAAAAATTATTTTGTACTTTTTAGTGCATCTTAATTTTAATAAAAAGAGTGTTTTAAAAAAAAAAAATACTTTTATATTTTGTACTTTTTAGTCTTATTTATCATCACTTATGGTCTTGTTTATTGCAACAGGGTTGGGTAAGTGTACAACGTTTCCGCTCAGTTGAAGACCAGGAGGTGGGTCATAACTGATATGCACGATTTGACCCGAAAATACCTCTCAATGGTCAGTGGAGTTCACTGCTGACCATGAATGATTGCCATGTCATCCAGGGTGGGTAGTTGCAAGAAGTTTCTGCTCAGTGGAGATCAGGAAGTGGGTCAAGATTGAGATGCAAAGGCCAATCAAGGGTCACTGCTTACCAAATGATCATGTAGGGTTGTATTGTCATCAGGACTGAGTAATAATGAAATATTTCATTCTATGAGATGAAGGGAATAGGTCAAAATTTGACTCACGGAGGTCACTCAAGTGTCAATGGCGGTCACTGTTCACCTACTGATCATGGTTTGTATTGTCATTGGTGGTGGGTAAGTGTGCAAATTTTAAGCTCAACTGAAGATCAGAAAGTCAGTAAAAATTAAGATGCAAGATAGTTCCCGCAGAGGTCAGTCAAGGTCACTGTTGACCTAAAGATCATAAAGGTCACTGGGATTGAGGAACCATGCAAAATTTCAATGAAGGGAACGGGTCAAAAATTGAGTTACATGATTTGATCCAAAACGCACAAGACGAAATAGCAAGCTATATAAAAGCATATAATATAATCAATGAATGATTTATAATTGTAATTTCACACATTTTATTTAATAGAAACATTTTCTTTACAGGGTATTCAAATAGTAATTTTAAAAATTATATGTATGTAAATAACCTTACAAAAATTCAGGAAATCTGCCCCTCTTTAACTATTGTAACAATAATTAACAATTATTATATATATATATTTTAGGTGTGTGTGTGTGCCTGTGTAGAGGTTTAAAAAAAACTCCCAAAATAGTTTGATGTCATTTTTGGATGACCCCAATGTATTCTCTCTGGATACATTTTGTTAGGCCTATTGGTTATTCATCATTGATAAAAGGATTAGAATAAATTAGTTGTGGCCTGGACTCCCCGGATGAACTAAAAAAGACAGATAAGCTACCAGCATAAACCATGCGTTTTATACAAAGGCTTTATACAGAATAAAGCCCCCTCCTCCTAAGCCACTGCATCTATAGTGTGTGCATGAATTTCGATCTGGTAATCATAACTGATTATCTGAAAATATGATTCTAATAAAAAAAATGTAAAGAATTTTAGGATTTTGATTTTATAAAACAGCGATTCAATAGCCAGTGATCACATTAAAAGGCACCCACTACTATACATACTTTTGAAAGGGTTAATGGCAATGGAACAAAGTAAATTCAAGATTTTCTTCTCAGTGTCCTTCAGTTTTTGCATTAGTACTAGGTATTTAAATAGAAGAAAAGAATTTTATTTTACTTGAAGTGTGTGTGTTTGGGTATAGTGGGTGTTAGGAGGTGAAAAGAGCATTGGGTTAAAAATAAACATGATTTCTTGGTGTGGTGAACACTGGGTTTACAACCAATGCTTGATAACTCTTATTTCAAGGGACAAAACACTATTGTCTCCAAGTTTAATATTTTTTTTTTTAGCATGCCAGGATGGCGATTTGTGTTAGGCGACCAAGATAACAAGAAATAGGCTCAATATTGATAATTAAAATTATTTTAAAATGTCTATCCTTTTGAAAGTTTCCAAACTATTCAATGTCTGAGATATGAGAACTGACTGTACATTAGTCCCTTCATTAAGGTTGCCAGGTGTTCACTATTTGAGCAGACAGTCCACTTTTTTCACATTATGATTATGTTCACTATTTTTTTCACAAAATAGTGGACATTTTTAAAAATTCAAAAGCTTTATGATGAATAATTGGTACGTAATCTAAAGCTGCAATATCTAAGAGAATAAGGATAGAAGAAGAGTGAACTTTGTGTATCATATATCTATAAAAGTGAAAGTTTGTGGGTTTGTTTGTTCCACAAAGGCTTTTACATAGAGTGATGGATCTTGACCAAACTTGGCACATATATCCATCATAATCTGGAAGGAACTCTTAAGGGGTTATGAACTTTTTATAACATTCTGTTTGGGCCCCGAATTTGATTTTGTTTCTCCTTATATGAGCTATATAAATAAAATTAACAACAAATACTCCTACATGAGTTGATGGATCTTGACCAAACTTGGTACACATCTGCTTTATTATCCATATTCAAATACCGAAGGGTACTGAACTCATAATATCCATTTCTTTGGGGCCAAGGGTCCCAGTTCATTTTTCCTTATATAAGCTATTTTCAATATGCTTAATACTCCTACATGAATGGATGGATCTTGACCAAACTTAGCACACATACACTTGATTATCAGTACTTAAATACCGAAGGTACTGAACTCATAATATCCATTCTTAGGGGGCCGGGATTTCATTTTTCCTTATATAAGATATATGAATATCAATAGGGTTAGACAACGGAATAGATTTTATGTGAATTTATGGATCTTAGCCTAGCTTTGTTCATTACGCTTCTTAGTCCGTATTGAAATAGCGATGGATTTAAAACTACTAATATACAATCTAGAATTTTCCAGAAAGTTTGATAATTAAAAAAAAAGCCATATCTATGGCATTTTTAAGTTGATTTTAACGGGATAAATTTTAATTCTATAATTTTTTTGAATGATTTTATAGCCCCCTCCCATATCCCTATTTTAATTTAAATGTACTATACCGGTAGTTATAATATTGCAAATTAGTTGTACAATATTTTGTATTTGATAAATAATTACTTGGAAAAATAATTTTTTACAGGTTTCATGGAGCATATTAAATTAAATCTAGAATCTTCCAGAAGGTTCTATATTGTTCTAAGGGGTTATATAACGTGATCTAAAAGCTTATTCTAACAAAAAAGCACTGAGCATGATCCCTTTAGAGGAATAAGATCCTAATGGGGAGCGAGATCCTATAGTATACTGGAACCCATCGGTAACGCGATTCCATCGGGTAACAGGACCAAACCAGGATTAGCATCCTATCGGGAACTGGAATCAAATGGAAAAAGAGAGTCCCTATGTGAAACGGGATCCCATAGAGAATGGTATCCTAACAGGATCAGTAGCCCATCGGGATCCACCAAGATCAGGATCCCACCGGAATCGAGATACTGACAGAATCGGGATCCCACTGGGATCTGGATCCGGAGCCACAAGAAAATGGAATCCCACTGGGAAACAGTATTGCTCCGGGATCACAGTAAAAATGGGATTGGGGTCCCACCAGGATCGGGGTCCTAATGCAATCCCAGGCTACGCCGGGTATATCCACTAGTTTTTAAATATTTCTCAACGTTGTACTGAAATTAAAGAATTATTCCTTAAACACAAAAAATTTATCAAACCTGCACAGTCAAATAAAAAATACACACGACAGCAAAGTTAAATGTAATTTAATATTTTACATATTATTTAAATATATTTGATGTTTTGAATTTTGAGTAAAGTTTTGAAGTGATTATTTTAATACATGTTAAAATGTTTGTAAAGAACCCCCCCCCCCCTGCATCCCCTACACAGGGGACTAATGAACTGGGTAACATAGGATTGTGATGTTATAAAGCAATTCAGGTTAAAGTTGATTAATACATGGGATATCACTTTTAAAATTTCATCAAAATTATAATTATCCTTTAAGTTCCAGCAGTGTTTTAAAAAAAAAAAAAGTTTTAAACTTTCAACCCCACACAGGATTTTAAAATAATTTTTCTGGAGCACAGAAAACCCCAATAAATTATTAATTACAAAAAACATAATTAAAAAATGTTACTCTGAAAACATGGCAATAGATAAAGTTTTAACATTTTATATTTATTCACAAATAAAGGAAGCATTGAACATTTCAACAGATCTTTGTTCACGGTTACTAAAAATAAGCCAAATTTGTTTTTTTTAAAATTTAACATTTCTAAAAAAGCATACATAAATTGGTACGGTTGCAATATTTAAGGAATGTTTAAATAGGTGATAAAGCATAAGGTGACTGATTGAATAAAAAATTTCATGAAATAAATATAACTCCACAGATGAATACCCTTTCATTTAGTAAGTCATAACTAGTTCTTTAATTTAAATTTTATATAAAAATTAGCTTGAATCATATCAATAAAACATCATTTTGAGACAATATTTAAAATAAAAATACACATTTACCTTATGTTATTAACACTCAAATTGAATACAGTAATGTTCTCATAATATCTTGATACTTCTGAATAACAGGAAATTCAAAATGAAATTATCACAACTGCTCTCCTTCATTCTCAGCAACGTGATCAACCATTTCAAATTTAATTAGGTTGCTCTAAGTTATTCTTTCATTCATTTGGTCTTTTTCCTTTCTTTGCCATAAACAGAATCAAGTCCAAGACCAACAAAAACAAGAGATGTTCCAGCCCACTGCTGAAGTGACATGGGATTTTGAAAAATGATGACAGAGGCAAGAATGGTGAAAAATTTCCGTGTTGTGGTAACAATCGAGCATGTCAATGGGCCAAAACTGGTCACTGTTATAAAAATGAACATCTGAAACAAAATAATTAGAAAAATTACTAAATATTCACTCATTTTTGTTCTCCATAAAATTACGTTATTTAACTTTGTGATTTTTTTAAAAGAGTTAAAGAGTCTCAAGTTTTCAAACAGAAAAACAACTAAAAGTCTTAAGCAGAGATTTTAAGTTCTGGAAATTTCTAATTTTACTGTCTTTAATTATTAACTTGTAATGTTCATCACGGCTTCCTTATTTAATATAAATTTTCTAAGATGTGCAAAAATTTCATTTCTATCCCATAATTAGTTTGTAAAATAATTAATTTTGAATGGTGAATTTTAATAAACATTGAGGGGAAAAAAGCTGTAAGTTAAGACTTTCTATCAAAGTGATGTTGACGCCTTTTTCCCATTTTGTCCAGGGGGTCTGGATGTTTTACTGGCATTGAATCATTCAAACTCGTTGCTCTAGTTCAATAAGTTTCACTGCCCTTTTGTACTTGCAATAACAAGAAATGCTATACATATATAAAAGTAATTCTTTCTAAATACATGATGATCTATGAAATAACCCCTTTCAAAATAAACTTCCAAAGTAAAATTAGTTCCAATTTAATTTTTTTTTGTTTTTCTGTAAAAAAATTTCTTTAAGCACTAATTTAACTTACTGGTCTTATAGCTAAGGAATCTCTCTAACTTTCATCAAATATTTGATAAAAACAATATACAGCTATTTATGTTCATTTTCTTGAAAATTCTAAACCAAAGACTTTCGTTATAAAATAAAAAAGTTACAACTACTTTTATCTTACTGTTTCTCAGCTACCCAATTTTAAGTTATTTAGCTTTTCTAACAAAAATATAAACATCAGTTTTAATCTCATGTAAAAGTTATTAAATTACAAAACAATCACAAATATTTGTTACAGAAATCTAGGTTTAACTTATGTTTAACACTTACCTGTCCCAATGCCGAGGCTAAGCTGAAGCTAACCATATTAAACAAAACTATTGGGTAACGACTGGCAAAGCCCAGAAATTCAAACACTTCTCCTGTCAATACTAAACCTGTTTGAAAAGAAAGAAGCAAAAGACATGAAATATTACACAACAAGATCAATTATAAATTATATAAACAGATTATTGGCTAGACATTTAATACTACGTTTTCAAAAAAAGTTTTTCAAAGACAAGTTGTTTGAAACAAAGTTTTGGTCCCAGTACTAGATTCTTGTGGGAGCTCAAATAAAAAACTCAAAAAAATTATATTTTCTATATTAAATGAATCATTTCTTCTAATGTGAGTCAGTTGGACTGCGTAATTTCAATTAAGAAGAGAGGGGGGGGGGTTGTTTCCCCCTACTGCATATAAACAGAGAAGCTTTTAAGTTTGCTTTTGTCATAAAATCAGTTGTCAGGGTGTGGCAAACAATACACATGGATGATGGAAAATTTGAGGTGGAGAATGAATCTAGAATATACAAAACAATTATATTCTTACCAATAGCTAACCATATAACAGAAAATACATTGATGAATAACATCATATTATTGGCACTTGTCTGATGGAAAGACTTCATACGATCTTGTGAAGCTCCTGTTAAGCCATCAAGTGTGAGAGATAAAAGCTGTGGACAAAAAAATTAAATGAAATAGATCATGGCTTTCAGCTGTTCCCACCCTATTCTTGAAGTTTTGTAAAAATGAGATACAAAAAGAGTTCATTGAGCATAATAAAAAATTTCACAAATGAAAGTTTACCTTTTTTTTTCTCTTCACATTCCAAAATTTGTTGGCAAATGCACCTGCAGATGTTTTTGAGCTAACAACTAAATTTTATTACAACGTAAAAAGTTGGCTGCTGTCTTTCAAATTTGGTCATTTTGAGGTCTACAAATCTACTTACAAGTAAGAACTCGCCAGTGCCAATGAGTGGGTGATCTTCTTCCTTTTTAGCAGCATGTTTATCCTTGTACATAAACATGGCCACGCCTGAGACTATGAGCAGCACACATAGGTATTTGGCTATAGGATATCTTTTTCTTGCAAACACTACTCCAAGAATCATAACTGGGATGGGTTTTATAGACTTGCCAAGAACCTGAGAGATGGGACCAACATTTTGACTAAATATATTAGGTATGAAATAGGAAAAGGTTTCTTACAGTTACAGTGCCTTTTTAAAATTCATTTTCATTAGCAACTAAAATGGAATAAGAACTGATTTTTAAGAAGCAAACAATTGTTTGGTGATTTTTAAAACTACTTGATTTACTCACTAAAGTCTCTTATAAGGCTGCATGTAGACTTTTAGAATAACACTTTTCAGCTTTTTATTTGTGACCCACAAAAACTAATTATTAAAATTCTTAGACACACTATTCAAGTATTAGGCCATTTCACACATTAGCAGAGTCAAATCAAACTATTATTAATAGATTTTTTAGAAGAATTATATTATTAATGGATTAAAGTAGAATATAAGGTGCAGTGTCACTTTTGAATAATCCTATATTTCATAAATAAAACTGAAAAGACCAAAACATTTTTTAAAAAAAATATCCTTATATTATGATCTTAAAAACTATTGCGCTCCCATGAACCTTTCTCGACACACCAGGGTATATAATGACACTCTACTTTTGACAGTTGAATATAGTTATTGACAAGGTGATAGGCATATTTGCATTTCTTTAATTTATCACTGTTGTCCTTTCATCAAACACTGTTTTTCATACCGGTATGTTAAAAAGGGGTAAAGGGAGAAACAAACAAAAGCCTTCACTTTTATTTTTATTGCAACACTTTTATCTTTTAATCATTAATATTAAATAAATCACTGGTGAATTTACTGACAGCAAAATAATTCCAAGGTTTTTAAAGTCTGGGACCTGTGGGTCAAGAGCATCAGTATCAGCCAAACAATGGAAATTTAATGTCTGTGAGAGGTGGGACAGGCGCTGCAGTATCAGTCAAACAAAGGAAATTTAACGTCTTGGAAAAGTGGGACAGGAGCTGCAGTATCAGTCAAACAAAGGAAATTTAACGTCTTGGAAAAGTGAGACAGGATCTGCAGTATCAGTCAATGGAAATCTAATGTGTGCAGGAAGTGGGGCATTTTAAGTCAAACAATGGAGATTTAATATCTGGGACATGAGCTGTAGTATCAAAGAAACCAAGCTGTTACATGTTATTAATATATGGACTATTGTATAAATCAGCTGATAGGGGATGAAAGGGTTGTGTGACACAGGTAAATCAATAACAGGAGGGACCACAGAGAAACAATTCAATGGACCATTATAAAATAAGACTTTATAAAACACTTTTAACAAAAATACAAAAACACATGAAAGACGTATTTTTTGTAAACCTTAGAAATTAGTCATATTTACATGCAACCAGTTACTTTTATGTGACAAGATCAGTTCTAGAATAAATGCATAGCCAAGGGGAGGTAGACAAATTAAATTATCAATATGCAATCACAATAAAGTTAAAAGGATAGTTAAACTACAATTAATCCCATTACATTTATAAAGTCCAAGTTATTAAAAAAAAATATAGAAGAGACTCGTTTTAAACTAATAAATTCTAATTATTATCCAATAATTCTACTTTTTTTTACCCAAACCACAATATATTATTTATTTTTTAAAAAAAGAAGCTAAATAATTTTTCATCAATTGTACACAAACATTGATTTTATAATTAAGTAAATATTTGCACTTGAAATTTAAATGTTCTAAAGCTTATTGTTTTCATGCAGTCTTTACCCAAGGATATAAAAAGTCTACTCTGAAAATACAAAAACCATTATAGTTAAAAACCATTTTTCATTATTGAATTTTCTGTCAGGCTACACACCAGCAGGATTTCCAACATGTTACTTGGATACTTAACAAAGGTCAATAATTTAATATATTCCACATCACTTTTAAATTAAAATTCAGAATAATCTTCACAGGGGATTTATCATTAAGCACAATATGTACACACGTAGACCAGTTTTATGGTTTAAATATTTTAAAATAGTAACTTTTAATAAGTTTTTGTACGTCTCATAGCAAAGTTCTAAAGTACATGCTATGAAACCAACATATACTACAAAAAAACTTAATCATTATTAATTACTCAATCATACACACCAATTTAATTTTTAAATAACTTTCTTTTCCAATTTACCTGAGTAGGATATGTTACATGCAGCAATGCATGATTACTGGCCAACATAGCTCCTAGATATGTTAATGAACAAATAGCGTATAATGAACTGGGCGTAGTGTCCTTCTCCTTGCCAGAAAAAATAAGCATTGCTGTCATGAAAATAAACAAAATCATATTTTTTAAAAATCAAATAAACATTAAAAGCTGAAATAAATAAATTCTACCCATGAAAAATATCTTAAATTTAGTAAGGTAATTCATTATTTTTATCTTGGTTGTAACACCTGTTTGATTTCAAAACCCGGTATCTGAATATAGATACAAAAGTTATAATAAAGATTAATAAAAGCTACCTTTTCAAATGAATTCTAATTGTTCAATTGTAATTATTTTTTTTTTACAAATTATAGAATTTAACATCTTTATTAAGGACTTAATAAATTAAACGCTTTGTAAATTGTAAGATATTATTCTATTTATAAAATTACACATTTGTGCTAGCATACTGTCTTCATAATAAAGGGACAATTATTATAACATTATACTCAACAAAATGATAATTACATATAGCAACATTTAATGACAAGAATCAAGGGGAAACATACTTTTAAAAGTAATATTAAAATATACAGAGATAGAGGATGGGGAGAGAGAAAAACTCATAAAGCTTACCAAGTTTAGCATAAATGGCATTGATGACACATTGTACAAATACAAGTGAAAGAGTGAAATGAAATTTCTCTTGTTTGTCTCCCTCTCCATATTTTCCCTTAGTGCTGCCAGAGAAGTTATAATATGATAATATGATACAAGCATGAAACCATTAAATACTGTAAAAAAAATTGCCATGTAACAATTAACTATTGCAAGCAAAAATAAATCATTTAATTAAATAAGTTGATTGATATGAAACTATTTGAGAGATTAAGATTTTTAAAAATTAAGTATTAGGTCAACCAGGTTAAGAACTAGGCTATACAATTTGCATCAGTCATTGTTATATTTTTTAGCATTGTTTTTTGGTCTACATAATGCAAAATGACACTTGAGGAGGAAGGGGGGGGGGGGTCCTCTTTGGGTAAAAACGTCCCTATTAAATCATCACAGATAAACACATTTCTTGCAATAACAACAATTAAAAATTAATAGTCAAGTATCATTGTCATCTTTTTTTTTTATATTGAAAGACAACAAAAAAACAAAAAAACACATTTAAATTATAATATTATAAAAGTACTTCTGCTACTAGCATGGGATACTGATATAGACTGGACAATTCCTGGTTGGTACGTATTCTCCATCCATATTCATCCTTTGTTTTGTCCATATATTTGTTTAAAAGGTTTTCTGCCATTTTTGTTTTTGATATGTCTTTACTACTTTTCCCTAAACTTGCTATTTCAGCAAAATACTGAAGAGGTTTCTCACCCTAAAAATTCAACCTTCTGCTAATTATTACAATTACAACCTCACATGTTCTTCTTGGTCAAAGAGATTATTTGTTATATAAAAATGTAAAACATAAATACAATATTTCTTCAGAGGAAAAAAAAAAAGAGTTATGGATGTGTATTTTCATCATCATTCATATTTATGAGTTGGATGTAGAATAAAAATATGAAGCCTTTTGTTTGGAAATATGACTTTAAGTCTGTTCAAGTGCAGACAAAAATCAGCGGACAAAGGGGTAACTATTAAAAAGTTATTAACTTATATTTTATAGCCTATTACAGGTGTTCTAAATTTTTATATGGTCACAACACACACTACTCCTTGGCTGGCTGGTGAGCTGGGAAAGGTTCATATTCGCAGTACAGGTGCATCATTATCATCACTAAAGTCCATAAGTCATAAGTGTCAAAAGCCAGAATATTTTATTTTTATAATAATAATAATTAATAATAATAAACACAACCTAGACTAATTCTTTATTTATTTATTAAGATAATTAAGCTGCAATCTAAGTAGATGTTAATGTTATAATTTGACTTAATTTATAAACATTAAAGTTTTTTTTTAAACTTTAAAAAAGCTTTTCGGCATAACCATTTCATTTAGCTATTTTAGATACTTTCATTTGTTTCAATATGTTCAGGCTAAGGGCTACTACTCTTACCATTTAATTTTGTTATTTTTCTTTTATTTAATTATGCAAATTGCTCGAACTGTTCTTAAAATTAACGAATGAAGCCTACTTACATTTTTTCTTGGAGAATTCCATAGTAAAAATAGCAGAAGAAAATTCCTCCCGAACAGATCAAAAGTTTTTTCGTGCTTGGTTCTCCTCCCATTATTGAAGGGGTATTACAGGTTTCTTGAATATGGTCTTTTTCGACTTCGTCTTGCGCCTTTGCACTGGGTGCTAGCTGATGAGCTTCAACGTCAGACATAAGGGGCCCGTGAGGCCAATACTCTTGACACAGACAAGATAACAAAAATACAGAGTTGCGTAACGTGTCGCAAAGCTATGAGTCCCTGCGTTGACTTCCGGCATGAAATATCCGCGCTTGTTTGTCTTGGCGTTGCATGATTGGACAAAAATGTGGAGTGGGTGTGTCCTAATATATACAAACAAATCATCATCGACTCCTATACTAAACTCATATTGTATTTATCTTTACAGTCTTGAAATCTTTTAATTATAATCACGTTCGCTTTTACGGTCTTGCCATATTTCTTTTTCTTCTATATATTAAGGACCCACGATAAATGTATTGACAGTCCGCTCTTCACAAGACAATGCTTCTGCTACGAAAAGGGAGGAACAAGAGTAAGACTTAAGACAACAGTAACTAGAAACAGTCATTCAGTGGGCCATCTCTTGTAAATATCTAAAAGGGTGCTATGTGAGTAACATAGGCCTACCCATGTTTCAATCCTTTTTCTCTTGTACTAGTTGTAGAAATTTATTAAGGAGTATGAGTATGCATTACATGTGAATTCAAAATATGTATTTTTTCTGGAGAACCCTTAAAGATTTAATGTAAATTGCTTTAAATAATTAATAATGGACATCGGCGTGATAAACATGAAAGACAACACAAGAGGCCTATGGTCTAGGTTCAATAGTTCACAAAAAAAAGTAGGATCATGTTTTTTCAGTAGTTTCCCCTTCTATCTAGTCTTTTTTAAGGTATGCTCCCTGGGAGAGTCTGTTTTGTGGGAGGGTCCATTTGTTATGAATGAGAAGATAGAGTTAGTGTGCTTGAACATGGATCGGCCTATAGTATTAGTATAAGTGTAGGAATACCATAAAGGGAGGGGATACTAAATGGGGTACCGGTAGTAGGAGTGTGCAGGTGGTCAGAGCTGGGGAGAGTGGGCGAGTCGGAGGCTGAACGTATCAATGTTGCGTGAGTTATTTTTGTTGCCGGAGATCGGTTAGTAGGCTATATGAGTTCTTTGGCTAAGCTTGTTAGCGAAACCCACATTACTAATGAGAGATTGTGTTGTAATTAATTTTAGTAGAATAAACGCTCATAATTAATAACTGTACAAAAACTTGCGTCAAGTCTGTGTACTTACAGTGTGTTTCAAATACCCCAGACAACGTAGACACTCAAATCAATTCGTGAAATATGCCATATTTTATATTTAATGAGTCGGTGACCTGATATGACGTACATCTTTGGGTTCAATGCAGTGTTTCTTTCAGATTTTTTCCCAGGTGGGGGGCATTTCAAAATTATTATTTTTTTTTGGGGGGGGGGGGAAAGCGGGCTGTGCCTTTTCAACTGCTGCATATGTCCCGGGGCACCAGACTACCCGGGGGGGGGGCAAATTGGGCTTTGATGGTTGAAAATAATCAGTTTCAGAGTTGAGGGGGGGGGGTGTAAAAAATGAATCTTGTCCAAAGACGCCAGCCAAACACTGTAGATACACCACTGGTAGTGTCGTCTAAATAGGGCGGATGGGGTGATCCACCACTTTTTATTTATATGCAGGAGGGGCATTTTCGGACAACTGCAGAGTTTGTATCGTGAGTGGGGGAAGGCAAAGATATTTTGCCGCTCATAACGGCCATAATAGCTGCGATACCAAAATCGGCGATCATTTTCATCGGGAAGTAGGGCGAAAATTGAGGGCGCCGAAGAATCTTGATCGATGGAGGGGCCTGGGGACAAGGTTCCCCAGAAAGTTTTAATTATTTCAAAATCAAGGTTTTTTGGTTTTTTTAGTATACTTCACTTCAATGTTTCTATTATACTTTTTGAAAAGGGAAAGCCATTTTTTAATGTTTTGTGGGAGGCATTATGGCGCCCAGTGCCATACATAATCTGAATTCACCCCGTTTGTGGCGTGCCTCAGACTAATCATTTGACACAAGCTTATAATCAACACCATACTGTACCACTGATCAGCGTAAGTGAAAGTGGTTCAGAAATTTAGGTGCTAAAGACACTTGGGCAAACTCAAATTGCAGGGGTGCATTTTGGTAAATACTTGATTTTTTTATTTCTTTCAGACAATTTTGAGGTTGCATTTCAAATTTTCGGGTGGGAAGTGCCAAAATTAGCCATAATAATGATCAAAGACATCTTAAATGAGACGTAAACTATATTCATTCTAGTTGTGTCACTCTTGATGGTACTCTTTTGCCCTAGATTATTCTCACCCCTTAAATCTTTATAGTCACTAGAATTTTTTTGATAAATTAAAAATACAAGAATGCATTTTATCACATATCTGAATTTAGTTTTAAAACAGTCTACACTTAATGGAGAGCAACAGAAAAGACCCTAGTTTTAAAAAAAATGTAGGTGTCTCTTAACCTTAGAATCATCGTGTGCGCCCAGCAACAAAAACAATGCAAGGGTCCCCCAAATCTTGAGGGGTTAAAGATTTAATGAGGATATTTTCTTAATTTTCATCTTTCAATGCAGGGTGGAAAAAAGGGGTGGGGTGTGGAAAAGTGCTTGATCTGCTTGTGTTGTGCAAAAAAAATAATAATAATAATACTTGTATATTACTAAAAATAGCTTTGTGGCATTAATTTTTTATTTACATTATTTGCGGGGAAAGCTACTTAATTGATGAATTTTCAACACACAAAAAAAAAAACAAAAAAAAAAAAAAAAAAAAAAATAAAAAACGAATTAAAAACGGTTCCATCGCTAAAAAGCACTGCAAACATTATTTGATATGCTGAACGCAAATGGAGAAAAAACGTACGTATAATAATTTAGACAACCCTTTTCTAAATATTTCTAAATATTACCAGAGTAAAAAAAAACAACAAAAAAAAACCCTGTCACTTAGAAAGGTCTATACATTTTTATAGGTTTTGAAAACTGGTCATTTTTATTAGGGTTCGTTCGCAAATTATGGGGGGGGGGGAGGGGGAGGGGCGCTCAACAAATTTGTGACGTCACTATTAAAAAAAAATTATTCTAAAATTTTCTGATGTTGAAAATGGGGTCCATATATTATGTACGCAAAACGTCATATGATATTTTCATACTTCTCATCCCATTCTTGCTTCCCTACAAATTTTAACCCCCCACACCCCCTTTTCAACCTCACAAAAACCACCTGTTTCAATTTAACTAGAGACGCAGTGACGCATCGGCAACAAAACGAAGTCAGCGTGAACGGTTTCTATTTTTCTCACATAACAAGACCGCTGTTGTATCAATGTATCTTTCTTTTTTTTTTTTTTTTTTTTTTTTTTTTTACAATTTTTTTTGTAGTGCAACAAAAAAAAAAAAAAAAAAAAAACACAAATTGGGTCACCCGCAGCAGTGTCACGGAACGGTTGCTGTGACGGAGGACGCCGGTCCTGACTTATCACACACTGTATTGATTTAGTACTGGTCAGTACAGGACCGCTCCTCACTGTGATTTATAGGTTGAGTATCTAGGCGTTGGGACAGACAAATGGAAAACGTAGACTTGAATGTAATCCAAACAACTCAAACTCCAGGTGTCCAGACGATAAAAGAGAATGCATTTAGGACTAAAATATAGGTCTATATATAAAAAAAGCTCTTCTTCGTCCTCACTGATTGTCAACTATCTATAATATGAATGTCTAAGCTATGACTGTTTCTAAACTGTTCAAATGTCGTCTCCTGATATCTCTCAACTATTCCCTCTCAACTGCCGTCTCTATCCTAGATCTATTCTCTCAAGTCCTCATGTTATGAAGAGTTCTGTCTCCATAGATTCTCTACCTCCATAGGCGGTTCAGGAATGCTCTCTATTAAAACATCCCTTCCCACTAATTTGCGGTCAATTAGAATTTTCTGTCGTAAACCACAAAATTATCATGCGAAGTCTGGAAGGCCCGGGGAATAATTTTATTATTGAAGGAAACAATCCCCTATATCTCAAAGATGGGAGCAAGGGGGGGGGGGTAAGGTCTTGCCCCCCCCCCCCCCCGCTGAGTCGCGTAAAAAATTTTT